AGACAATAAGTTTTTTGGAAAAAGAATTGAAATGCAAGACCCAACATGGGTCCAGTGCCAAAGGGGCACTGGACCCATGTATTTTTACAAAAAGGGTCCAGTGCCCCTTTTACAAAGAGCACATTTACCTTACAGTGGTTGTTGATTTATTTGTTAGTTTCTTGTTTTTTGGATTTATTAATGCAATGCAATGTTTTTGCAGGCGAGTTGGCCCAGACCAGACCATGTCCACTCCAGATCTTGTTCCAACTACTCATCAAAGTGGTTTTTGCTGTTAATGACTTTAGTCTTTCATTTTTTATTTATTTTTTTAGTTTTTATTTTTATTCTTATTTTTTATTTTTCATATATTACGAATTTTCACATTCTTTAAAATTTAATATTCCGAAGTAAACCAGGATTAGAATGATTGTTTTATTTACAATTAATTTATCCCAATAAAAACTAGGATGGCGATTTTAGGTATTAATGTCTGGTATTCAAAAGTTGTGAAATCTAGAATATCCTGGAAAATTGAGTTTATATTGAATTACTATGGTTTTGTGTCATCGATGCTGGATTAGTAGATTCGTGGAACAATCTAAGAGAAATCTTGGATGAATGATGGTTGGGAGACCTAAGCCCCAAGTTTCCAGAAGAAATTCTGTGCCTATACATTTTTCGAAATGTGTACTAATAACACATATCATATTAGATTGGTTCCCACTCAAACTTTCTTGGAGGCTAGTCATGAGTTTAAAGAAATTCATTCTAGATGTCTAAGGTTGTCTTGACAGCTTTTGCACAAAATTACCAGGTTTAAAGATGGGGCACTCTATGTGGTAAAATACTTTTTATCTGCTTGAAACAATCCACAACCCGGACCAGACTGAGGGACGCAAATCAAAATATTTATTTGACCAATGAAAATTTTGTATCAGGAGGTATAGTTAATGATTACAGAGTTTCTCAGGAGAGGAATAAACAAACCTGGACCTAGGGACTTAATTTTAGAAACACAAGTACATTTAGTCAGCTGGCTTGCCAACAGCTATACCAAATATATAGTGCACCGAACAGGGTCAATGTTTGGCAATATTTGTCTGACAATTAAGACAGTACTTTAAAATTTTCAATAGATGAAAGGATTACAGAGAATAAAGCTGTCGGGTAGATTAAAAACACAGAAAGTGAGCGGATTGGAGTCCTGTAGAAACACAATCAAATTTGCAAAATATGATTGATCAACTGACGGACTTTTAAAACCGTCGAGCAAAGATATAAACCATTTACATGGAGACAGGGGACATTGGATTGATTGATCCAGTTAACCTTGTTAACCTTTAGTATTTCTTACCAATCTATACTGAACTATACAGTAACCGGAGGGGCCATGGTAGAAAAGAAACAGCACTCAATTGAATTCCAGACATTCAAAATTCACTAATAAGAGTAGAAAAAAGAATATTTGGTTTGATAGAAACATAATTGGCTGTATTTGTCTACCATCATGAATAATGGACGCCAGTATGAAAATGAAGCTTAAGCAATGATACTGCGTATAATTCTCTACTGTGTACTGTTGTTGTTGTAGCTTTATCCTCGGTCAGGATCTTCGAGTTCTTCCAGTTAAAGGAAATTAGAGGCTTTGATAGGGTGGGTCCATATGCTGGTAGTGGGAAGGCTGGAATCCGTGGTTAACTTCAGATGTTGAAAGGTTCGAAAATGTCCAGAAAAAAGCTCTAAAACAGGTTTATGGATTACAAGAAACCGATTATCTAACAAGGGTAAAAGAACTTGGTCTGACTACACTGGAGGAGAGAAGAAGATACACCGATCTTGTACAAACATACAAAATCATACATGGAATAGATGATGTGGACAGAAAGATTTGGTTTGAGCTGTATGGTGACACTGAAAGGAGAGTAACCAGAACAAGTGAACAGTCCCTTTGTATAGTAGCTTCCAGACCCAATTTGGATATAAGAAAACACTTCTTCTCTAATAGAATAGTTCAGCAGTGGAATGCACTACCTGATAGCATCAAAAATGCAAGAAATGTCAAACAGTTTAAAAACATGTATTTGAGCCAAGTGCCCCTACCCAGATGAAGTAATCTGTCAAACCTCTGCTCTCGGAAATGGTATGGGTCACCAGTAAAGCTGACACTTCTTCCTTGGATCAAAATGGTCCCTTAGAAGTTCCTCTTCAAGTAAACAAGTGGTTGGATTTGTTTGGCAATTAAACAGTTGGGTTGTATCATGAGGTGTGGTTTGACATTTGGGACATTTATTTTCAATTTTATCATCTGATCAGTTGAGGTAGGAATTAAGGAGTCTTGAGAAGCCACTCCTGAGTTAGGAGAGTCTTGATCTGGCAATTCTTGTGAGTTTAATTTCATCAGGATTGATTGGAGGAGGGGGGTTATAATCCTGGACGAGAACAGTATCTGCAGATTATTGTTGAATGGTTTTCCAACCTGTTTCTGTTTGTATGTCTTTGAGGACTCTTTTTTAATCTTGTTTGGTTGGCTCTTGTTCTCCAAATCTGCTAATCTATACCTGCTACAAATGCTGTAGAAACGAACTTCTATTTGTCACAAAATTCACAATTTACTGACATTGAGTTTTCCGAAAACATCAATTAATTCCGTAAAAATCAAAATTTTCAAAAATATTATTTTTTCAAATATTTGGGTATTATATCTTACAGATCAATTCTTTTGAAAAAAATTATAATATTTGAAAATTCTAGCCATCCAAGGTCAAAAAGTGGCTTTTATTTAAATTTCAGGTGGAGACATCTAGTGGTGAAACTCAGAAGGTTCCAATCCGACCTAATACAACCTAAATCCGACTTAAGGGCTCATGGTTAGGTTGTGACCAGTTAAGACCAGTTTGGTAATCCAACCACGTAAGACCCAATCTGACTAAAAGGTCAAGTTATGAACAGTTAGGACCAGCTAGGTAAAGCAACCAAGTCCAACCTAATCCAATCCAATCTAGTTAAGTCTCTTGACTTAACTCAACCAATCTCAACCAAATCCGACCTAAGTGGATTGGTCAAGTTAAGACTAGTATGAGACCAGTTAGGTAACTCAACCTAACCCGACCTAACCTGACCAAACACAACCTAGGGGGACTAGTCACGTTCCAACCAGTTAGGTCTCCTGACATAACTCAACCAATCACGACCAAATCCGACCTAAGTCGATAGGTCAGGTTAAGACCAGTATGAGACCAGTTAGGTGACTCAACCTAACCCGACCTAACCTGACCAAACAGGACCTAGGGTGACTGGTCATGTTCCGACCAGTTAGGTCTCCCGACATAACTCAACCAATCTTGACCAAATCCAACCTAAGTAGATTGGTCAGGTTAAGACCAGTATGAGACCAGTTAGGTAACTCGACCTAATCCGACCTAACCTGACCAAACATGACTTAAAAGAACTGGTCATGTTCCGACCATTTAGGTCTCCTGACATAACTCAACCAATCTCGACCAAATCCGACCTAAGTGGATTGGTCAGGTTAAGACCAGCATCAGACCAGTTAGGTTATTTGACCTAAACCGACCTAACAGGACCTAGGGGGACTGGTCATGTTCTGACCAGTTTGGTAATCTGACGTAACCCGACCTAACCTGACCTAACACGGCCTAAGGGGACTGGTCATATTGCGAGCAATTTGGTAATCTGACATAACCCGACCTAACCTGACCTATCTCGACCTAATGGGACTGGTCTTGCAACGTCGCTGGTTTCTAGGGATATTTTGAATTCCTATTTCATTGAGGTGTTTTCTCTTTTTTTGAGTCGTTTCCGCAATAATTTTGAGGCGATTCTTTTTTTTTTAAATCATATTTAGTAAAGGTGTTGACTTTTTTTTTCAGGCGTTTATTTTGAGAAATTTCCTTATGCCAAAGAAACTTTTAAAACCTCAGTTAATTGAGTTGTTTCATCTTTTTTGAGGCGGTTCTGTCTTTAGAGAAAACTGCTTAAACTCATGTATATATAGTGGAGGAGTTTCTGCTAATTTAAGAGGCGTTCCCGTTTTTCCATAAAAGACTCACTAATTTGGTAATCTGAAAAACCTGACCCAATCCAACATATAAGTGGGTTGGTCAGGTTAAGACCAGTATGAGACCAGTTAGGTGACCTGACCATTTTTGAAGAAATTGAAAAAGGGCATGTTTGTTTTCTCTTGATACTTCTTTTAATTCATCCAATAAAACCTACAAATCAAAACTTAAATAGAAAAGTCGTCTTCATTGTATTGATATAAAATAAGTGGTACTGAAGACAACAAATGAAAATAAAGTGGTAAAGTCTCTGAAAAATAAAATGTTTAGTGATATGACATTTTTACGGCACTCCACATAAACAAACATAACTTCTGTAAAACATGACTTTAGTAATCAAAAAAGAAAAGAAAAATTATTTTTGAAAGGAAGAAAGATTTTTAAAGAAAGAAACTAAGTTTTTCTTTGAAACCTGATGGTGTAAATTTTATTTCAAACTTGGGCTTTTTCAGGTTTCACAGATATAGGGATTAGTTTAAAAATATTAAAGATCTACAACATCAGGTTGCACAGATTAGGGATTATAATTTTGGAGTTCTTGACAAAATCTCATTTCCTTTCCCCCTCTGATATCTAATAAACCAAGCAAAGCTATACGGTTCTCTAATATTGAGAAAAAACTTGTTAGTAATTTTGTCAAAATAGGGATTTTTAGGGGGGGCACAACATCTTCTAGGGGTGTGTACAAAAAATATTAAGGTGCCCCCGCCCCCCCCCCCTTATACCAAAGAGAAGCACCTCAACTAAATTCACTTGTTAAAGGTTTTTGGTAAACGGTATTGCCAACTAAATGAAGTTTATATTAATTGGGAATAAATAACTTGATGTAATGCAAAGAATATTAATGAAATTATAACAAAATTTGTCTGTTTTGTAGAACTTTTGTGTATCATTCAGAGTTTATCACTTTATTTTATAAATATATTTATTTTTGTTTAGAATTCTGTTCCAACTGTTTGTGCCACATGTGGAAAAATTATTGCAACTCTTAACTTATTAACAGGTATGCAAGCCTAAAAAATTTTTTCTATTTTTCAAATAAAAAATTTATTTTCATAAATTATTTAGAGTGTGAGCCTGGTATTGAAGTGGTGGTTTCTAACTCACAAAACTTTATTACTCCTAATGATTCAACGGAAGAAAAAGAAGTGGTGAGAATAATATACTTAAAACATTTTATGAATACAGAATTTAAACCAAATGTATTTGTAAAGCCATTTTAGAGCATGTTATAAATAAATTTTTTAAATCTTTTTTGCTTGATTTGCTGAAAGAATTTGAAAAAATTTACAATTTAAACATAAATCTGTTTTTGAAAGGTTTCTGTCGTGAGGGATTTCCCCCTATTAGATGTAAAACCTAAGCGAGGGAGGGGTAGACCCAGAAAACCAAAACCAGGTAGTAATTCTATCGTTTACCCAGCTCCGTAATTAAATTTTATAAATCAATATTTTTTCATGAGTAAAAAATATTATGAAAATATCAACTATATACGATTGCATCGATAAAAAATCGATGATTTTTACGATCCGAATTGAATATTGCAACTCTATCACTTTTTATCTCATTAAATCGGCAGTCCAATCTTTATTTTATGGCTATAATCATCCTCCCCTAACGTTTTTAACATTTCAACATATTGTTTAGCATATGAAGTACAATGTTAAAACACTTGCCGATTTAAATCGATGTATTTTAATTTTTAAAAACAAATTTACTATCATTGCATGTATCGGACAAATAAAGTATTTTACATTCCTGTAAAGGTTTGAATCATTGATAATTGCTTGGAGATCTTAAGATCTCCAATTTGAAGATGTCATCGTCTGAGTGGTGAACCTTAACCTTATCTGATAACTGAGTTATCACCTATTAAAGAATCATTATTTTCAAGAATTTGAGAAAATGAAAATTTTAACATCAATCGGTAAGTGTTGCTCCGCCTTATTGATTCATTTTACCAATTTACAAAGGAAATATTTGGGGTGAAGATTGGGGAGGAATATTTTTAAAGTAAATATATATCCCAAATCTCTGTATATGGATTATTCTTTGTTCACTAATTAACTGCCAGGAAATGTGAATATCTCAAGATTTCTATTTTTATTTAGAATTAACCACTGATTTCACCAACAAGTTTCTGCTCAAGAGTTCAGGTAAAAGCGTTTTGTATTTAGAAGTATTCTCACTAAATGTATCAGAGCTGGGAACTTTTGATTGGTGGATATCGGGAAAAATGCTTGATCCACTCTTTTTCTTAATCTTGAGATCAAATAATGATAGTTCTGTTAATTAACCGATTGGGATTAAGGATATTCCATTCTAAAGTTTTCAGCTCCGATCAAATATTATGAACACATTCAGTACAGCTGCTGTATTTACGTCACTGGAAACATTTCAATTTCAATGTTAGAGAATATATTCTATAGTGTGGATAAATATAGAATGAAGTGTTTAAGTTTGCAGTGAAATTAGTGCAGTGTCATGTGTTTTACCTTTAATATTGTTTTATTAAATGTCCTCTGCATTATAAAAGTGCAAGAGCATACAAAGAGCATATTTTCATTCCTCAAGTACAGAATAGCTCAGCTCTATTTTTGTAATTTGACGCACTTAAAGTAGTTTACTTTAATTTGTAAACAATTCATTTCTTAAAAGATAACATTTAAAGTTTTTGAAATTCAGGAATAGACGGTATTTGCCAGATATCAAGGAATGAAACAGTAGTTTGTTAGGGAGAATGGGTTTAATCAAATCTTTTTATTAAACAATAATTGAATAATGTTTTAGAAAATAGAACAAGTTAAATGATTTTAATTTTGTTTGCACCCATAGAAACTTGCAGCTTAACGGACCTAAGCGTAATTTCTATTGACCTAACATTCAAAGATGACGATTTACAATGGCAGCCGAGTGAAACCTGTATTTAATCAATAGTTTGGAAGCTATTATTATTTTTCTTGGGTCTTTAACAATTTTTATGAGATTTCCTGCAGTATAAATGCGCTAGTCACTTTTGTAAAGAAACTACAATTAAAAATAAACCGTTTCAAAATTTAAGCTTCGTTATCTAACTCATTCTTGATCAGACAAAGCCTTAAAGGTACCATTGTGAATCGGGCAGTGCAGTTATCTTTGTTTGGAGATTCGCTTAAAATTATGCGTACAGTCCCTATTAATCTGTGCTCTGGAAATTGAGTCTGAGAAATGAAAATATTTTGACTAATGTTTCATCTGTGTCCCTGCAGAAAAAATACCGAGGACCCTCATGACAGAAAAATTCTTATCTCGAAGGAAACTTTTAAATGTTTAAACGTAACAATGAATTAAAGGGATTCTCGTCACTCTTTTAAGGGACCCTAGTATGATCTATAATGTGGAGGAAAATGTCGATTTTCTGGGTTGAAAAGTGTTTATTTCGGATTATTTCTCAATTGTTTCTGCAGTTAGAAATGCACAAGTCACTTCTGCAGAGAAACCACAAACGAAATTTAACCGATTAATAAACAATAAAGTAGATAAATAATTCATTTGAATTTGATATCCCATTCTATTTATGGAGGGTCACTTAAAATTAGGTTAACAGTCCCTTTAAGAAAATAAGTTTCACACGCAGGCTTTTACACTTACAGGGCTTAATTGTGCTTAACCCCTTGGGTTGTCTGGGTCTCCCNGTTTCAGATTTAATCTCTTTATCTTCATCTTTAAAAATTCTGGGATAATAATTTATTTACTTTCTGGGCGAGAGGCATTTCCATTTTTAATTTTTCCTTCATTTAGCCTTTTCTTAAATTTGTTTAAAGCTTAAACTTCTTTGATTTTGATCAGTAGGGGATGGGAAGGAGCAGTATGTCTGAAAAATATTTAATCCTTGTTTTACACAACTTCAAGGGCGTTTACAGGAAATCTAGAGCATGCAAACTTTTCAAATCTTGAAGTGAAGAGTTACAGAAGATTTACAGTTCAATATTTGCCCCCATCCTGGGGGGGATATTTGGCCTTCCCCTAGATTTATTTCTGTATATGCTCTTGCACCAATCAAGAAAAAAGGGTTACATTAAAAGTTTTGAGCAGGAAAATTTTTGTTGGAATTGTAAGTCCATGATATCTTATGGTTTCTGGCATGAACACAAGATAGAAAAAGGTAAGCTTATTTACTAGAAATTGATGGATACATGTTAAATGGAAAAATGGTTAGAAAGGTCAAAGACTATGTCTTTTTAGCTGGTCATACAACTGTTTTCTGTTCCTCTCTTCTTTTCTTTACATTCTATCCAAAGAATTATATTAAGTTATCAGCAGCAGTGCTAAGGATTTATAATCCACAACATTTAAACTCCTTGATTTCGGATCTGGTAAAATATGTTGATCCACTATTTAAAAAATATTTTCTTATCAATGCAGGGTAAAATCAAGTTTTTGTGAAAAATTTGTCAAATCTGCACAATTTCTCCTGACTGATGGGGGAACTTTTTTATATATTTCTTTATTTATTCATAAGCTGTATCCAGATCCAAATCAAAATGTAATATCTAATTATCAAATTAAAATCTGCACTAGGTAAGCTACTTTGCCATGACTGTTTCCAGACCATGATGGAGAGGAATATCAGGAAGAAGCTGCAGAATATTGAGGCAGGGAGAAATTTTATTTTATTAATTTCCCTTCTTTAAAAAAAATGTGAAGTATATTTGATTTAAGGATAAGATTATGGTTTTTCAGGTGAAAAAGAAATGTTTTTTTGTTGAAAATTTGAGGCGAAAGTATGAGTTAAAAAAATTACTAGTTAATGTCCAAAATTTCTTCTTTTTCCCATTAAAATTTATTAGGGAGGGATAATTCTTTATAATATTTAGCCCTGTAATAAGGAGAAAAAACAGGACGAATCCGGAGATCCCTATGATACACTGTCCTGCTCTATTCTGAGTAGAACATCTCTTTATAATGTTGAAACAGGTATTAAGAACTATTCAAATAAAGAACTGTTTACTGAACTGAACAGCTAAATGTCAAACCTTTAATGAAACATTACTATTTTAACTCTTCAAAATATTTGTGAGTTTTCCTATTTTACTTAACTTAGACCCCTTCAAGAGGTTTTAGGTAAATACATCTTAGCATTTTAGCTATCATTTACAGCACAATCATTCATATCATCAAAATCGTTTTCGTTTTCCCCTTTAAATGAGTTGTAATTAGGGATGGGCAGTTTTGACTTATAAAAACGTTTTCTTTCGTTAACGATGAAAAAAAATCTGAAAACGAAACGATCATTTTTAAACGATTGTTTTAAAAATGATCGTTTTTGAAAGGGATGAAACTAAGTTATGATATTTTTAAAGATGAAAAAACGAAAACAATGGTTTTCTTATCGATCGTTTTTAAAAATGGAAAACGATACTTTTCAAAACGATTGTTTTGGAATAAAAACCATAGTATTGAAAACGATCCTTGGGGTGGGGTGAGGGGGGTTGGAAGAACTTAATATTTGTCCAAGCAGGGAAGAAAAAAAATCAAATTAGAAAAATGGTAGAAAATTTAATTCAGATTGTTAAAATTCAAACATATCTGAAACAACATTCATAACGATTGTTATTTCTTCAAAACTATAGTTTTGTCATTTCGTTTTTCCTTTTCAAAAGTTTAAAGTTAACACTTTGTTTGTTCTAACAATTTGTTTCTTCTAAAAACGAATGTTAGTTAGTTTTGAAAAATCCAAAACTAAACTTAAAATGGTTGTTTTTCCGATTGCTTTTGTAAACAATGAACATCCCTAACTGTACTAGACATTTATTATTTTTTATGTAAATAGAAGAGGAAGAGGAAGTAGAGGAAATCGAAGATGGAGACAACCAAGACAAAGTGTCAGATGAAGATGAGATAAAAGGGGGTTCTAATCCATTGTTTCACAAGCAAGTGAAAATTAGGAATGACGGTTGGGATATGCTTTATAGCAAGGACCAACAGGAGAATGTTGATCTTGATTTCGAGGATGAGTCTGATACTGAAACTTCTGCCAAAGATGATCCTAGTGATAATGTTACTTTTAGAAATGAAAAATGTTTATCATTAAATACTGTGCCTGGTTTCAAAAGTTTGAAAAAGCTACCTGTAAGGAGTAACAGAAGAGATCTGAAAAGATTTCCCTTGTCTAGATCTGGGAAAGCCAGCAGGAAGAAGTTATCAAGAGGACAGGATTTTCTCCGCGGGAAAAATATTCCCAGCAACCATTATAATCATGACTCAAAATCTAAGCCCTTTAAAACTTTGAATAATTTGTTCAGCCCTGTCAAAGAGCATTTTTGCACAACTGATAGAAGTATAACTGACCCTAGTAAAAATATCCTCAGCACAAATATTGAAGCTAGTTCTGGTAATGAGCATACTATTAAAGAACTCTTAGCTTCAAATAAAGAGTTGTCTTGTTCATGGAAGGAGTCCAGTGTCTTAAATAGCAATACATCTGGAACTTCCTTCAGCACAAGTGATGAACCTTCTTCTTTAAATAGAGACTTCTCTGGAACAAGTGAAGTTTTGAGAACCAGGAATGTAATTAGCAATGCAAGTACTGATTCTTTCAGTAAAAAACCCACGATTGAAACCAGTAAAGAGAATTCATATGAAAATATTGAGCTGTCTAGCAGTAACAAGGGCCTCTCCTTCACAAAGGAAGATCTTACCGTCAATTTTGAAGATCCCATGGCCAGTGCTAAAGAGATTATGGGAAGTGATGAAAAGTTTTTTGGCAGCATGAAAAAAGATGATAAACTTGACAACATAATGGAGAACTTCAGGTTTATTATTTCTAATTTTACATGCATTTTTATTTTATGATTTTATTTATTTTTAAGATATCATTAATTGCAAAATATTATACTAGCTTGGGAACCGACCTTTGCTCGGAGTTTCCCCTTAAAAAGTCCACTGCACTAAATTAAGAATTTTAAGCAAAGATAAAAACTTTTCTGTGGTTTTGCCGAGTCTGTTTGAGGCAAGTCTGTTATGTGGTTCATGTTATGATTGGACATCAAAGCATACAGAAAATTAACATAGAAATCAAATTTGATAAATAATTACTCCTAATTGTTTTGAATATTATCTATTCTCTTCCCAGGCTGAGCTTCTTGTTAATATAGACCAACAAAAAACTTTTCTGTTTTAAGGTCGAGCAGGGAAAAGAACTTAGAGAATATGGATGATTATAGCGAATCCTCAAAAACCAGTGATAAATCCGTGGACGTGGTTGAAAGCTTTGATAAAGTTGAAAAGCAGGCATCCACTACCGATGAGGTTGAATCTGATTTTTCTGATTCAGAAGACGACCTTCAGTTCCTGGCCAACTTCTCCTCAACTAAGAAAAACAATAACAAATTATTGTCTGAAGAGAATCAAGAACAACCCATAAAATACGCTTTTCCAAAGAATGTTACTATATACGAGAAAGATGATGATAAACGTTTGGTATCTGCGTCAGAAAATTATGATCAAACATTTTCGAAATTTTCTTTCTCAAAATCTGATCTAAAAAACTCTATTTTGATCCATCCTAAAAGGAAGAAAAAGACATCTGTTTGCCATCAGAAACTTAACGACTCCAACCTCAAATTGTCTTGTCAAAGTAATGAAGCTTTCTCCGGCAAAGAAGCTAAGCTGAAACTTCTTCATCAGCCTTCTGCTGAAAAGACCTTAGAACCCTCTCTTGCTTCAAAGACATCAACAACAAACAGACAAACCAAAGAAACTTCTGTCATATCTAATGGCTCTCTGTCCCTTACTCCAAATCTTCAAGAATCTAAAGATGCTGTATCACATGTAGTTGCAGAAGGCACAATTATAGATCAAAATTCAAATAAAAATGATGAAAACCAAGTACTAAACATCATGTGTTCGAATGTAAACACAAGGGTGCCTAAGACGGTATTGGATGATGGTATAAATAAAAGCAAGATTGTTGACACCAATACTGATCAAGGGCTACAAGCCACTTCAAGAAGATTACCTCTGGAACGAAGGAGTAAACGGGGATCAGTTGCTGTCCATACTATAAAACCAGCTTTGAAAATAACGAGGTGAATTTTTACATTAAGAATGAAAATTTCGTAGAATTTACTCATTTGGGCTGGGATGTCAAACTGCTAAAAAATGCATTGGGCTTATATGGCAAAGTTCTATAGAACCCAGATTTAGGTACCCAAGGAAAATAGTACATCCTTGTATCGTCTTATGTACTGAAACAAATATGTTCACTATTTTCACTATGTTCACTGTTTTATTTTAATTAATTTTCCCAGTGAACCTTAATTAGAAATCCCACTGAAGCAGTTATTTTAGGAGTAATGGGTCGAAAATGTTTGTCAATGGGGATGAAGCTAGAAATCAACAACTTTGTAAAATAAGGACAGAAGGAAAATAATTCTATTGAACATTTTTTCCCCTTTGACGACAATGTACTATGTTTCCATGAATTAGGATTGACCATCTATTTTTACTCCAGGTCAAGAAAGCATACTGTGAGTCCACTGGTTTCTGAAACTCACAAAAAGCCAAGACAGTGCTCAAAGACGAAGGCGAACGTAGATGAAGATGAAGAGGGTGCTGCTAACAGGGCTCCACATGTGATTCGTCTTCTTCCTAAAACCGAGCAATAATACTGTTTGATAATTAGTGCATTTTGTCTGAAATATCGAACTAAAAGTAATTTGAAACAGAATATTGGAAATATTTGTGCGAACAAAATGTTTGCAATTTCATAATTTTACTTTGGATAGTTTTTTATTTAATAATTAACAGACAGAACGTTTCTTTGGTCTGATAATGTTGTTCATGGCATTCAAAGAATTTCTTTCAATTACATTTCTTCCATTTAAGTTTCTTACTAAATCTTCAGAATAAGGTAATGTCGACACACATTAAATTATACATTCTTAAAATTGTTTTCAATTTTTTCATCCTGTATTTATACTAAGTAAAGTAATTTATATTTATTATGCATAATATACATTTTTCTTTATTTTTTTTCTGTTAATTTCAGATGAAATGAATTATACTCTAAATTAGATTATAAGTTAAACGCGTGATATTTCTGGTAGACAGGAACACCATTCTGAGGAATGCTGATTCCTTTTTTTAGCATTCCTGGATAGTGAGAATCAGAAAATCATAGAAAATTCATTTTGCTTCAGGACTCAATTAATGCTTTTAATTATGCTAATGTTCAATTGTGCAGTTGAAACTTGTTAAATCGACTTAATAATTTACTGGAATAAATATTTTCTTTGCAACAGCATCAAATATTCTCAATTGCTTTTATGTCGTCCTCTTATTCTATAGTTTTCTGGTTCACGCTGTATAAATCATTTTTAGGAATGTACAGCCCCAGGGTGAGCCACAAAAAGTGTGATTAGCGGCGCCTGGTGCAAAATTGTACATTTATTTTGTAGAAACATCTCCTGTATGGTGTTTTTTCAATATTTATAATTTTTTTATATAGTTACTCATGGTCCAAAAGAAAACGGTGAACATTTTTTTTCTCAAAATCAAATGTGTAGATAAGCAAAACTGTGAATATATATTTTATATTATTTCTATCGAATTCTAAAATTTTTTAAAGATTGAATTACAGAATCACACTTGTAATAAGAAAATTCGCAATTTTCAGTTTTGGTCTCATTTTTAGGAAAAAGTTGTTTTTCAGTGGCTCCTCAGGTTTCAACTGAACATTGTGTATTAGAATATACTAAAAAGAAAGAAACTAGTGGACGTGAAGAACTTTTCTTTAAAAATTAGACCAGAACTAAAAATTTCGAATTTTCTGTTTAGAATTTTGCAATTTTCTGTAATTCAATCTGTATAAAATTTTAAAATTTGATAGAAATAATATATATACACATTTTTGCTTTTCTGAACATTTTCTTCCTTCCAAGAGAGAGAACACCCACTCCTTCACTTTTTAAGTTCTATGTTTTGCAATGGGCAATTCTACGCAGCAACCATTTAAAATTTATTATGGGGCTGAATCTCAATGACAAGTACAATCATATGGCCAAACACATTGGTCCACATCTTCATCAAACTGCAGAGTAGGCTGGCAAAGAATCACTTTTCCCTTAAAAATAAAAGAGAATTAATTTTATCTTTAAATTTTTTGTCAAAGAAAAAAAACTTGAAGCAAATCTTATTTCTATTTTTAAAATGTTGAAATTGGTTTCCTATTCAATGTTAATGTCAATGTTAATGTTAATTGATGTTAATTTTGAAATTTATAGACGGAGAAATATTTGTTGCATACCCCGGAAAAACAAATCAAACCTTGTTAAGCTAAAAATTAAAAATATTGGAGGATTTTAAGAAATATTCGGTTTTTAATCTTTTTATGTTAATTTGAATTCTTAAGTACTTACCACTCCTTGCCAGCATTTGCAAAACCTATCTAGACAGCATCCCATTGCAAAATCGCCATCTCCTTTGCAGAACGGAGTGCAGAAAATGTCTGGGTCTTCAGTAGTACTGGTTGAAGGAACAGAAGCATGGCAATGTTTATCGCAATCATCACAGATAAGTCTAAAATACGGTGATGACAACATTGCTTTCTCACAGCTGACATATAGTGCTGATAATTGTTTTGGTTCTCTTTTTAAATTTTCCAACACTCCAAAACTGTATTCGGTTAAACTTTGCGTTAGTTTTGCATATACTTTCTCTCACGGTCATATATTTTTAATAAAATTATTTTAACATCATTTATTTTAACCGAAACAATCAACAACACTTCTTACTTTTAAGCAAAGTGTTCAAATCCTGTCAAATATTTAGATAAATATCTAGGACTTATGGGGTGTCCCACTAAACATGACAGCTGGTAAATAGTTTAGAATGTCTTCTTCCATACTTTGTGAAGTTGTATAATACCAAAGACAATAATAAAAATATTATATACGAGTCATTTTATAGTAAAATTCTTTTCAAAGTAAAGTATATTTCGAAACAAAATAAACTGCACAAAGCCTTAAATATCTAATACAGTGTATGGAAGACGATATTAAAAACTATTTACCAACAGTCGTGTTTCGTGGGACACCTTGTACAGTGTACAATGTACATGCAGTCAATGACGCTCTTCTTTGTAACAATCCAGGTTCAGATAAACAAAACTCGTAAACCAAGTGAAACTGTTGATAAAAGTGAAATATTCTTATATAAATTGAATGGCGTAAAGTCCGATAATGTTAAAAATACTAAAACAAGCTGGAATTTGTAAGATAAAAATGTCATGTTTAACATGTGTTCACAAGTTGAATTCTGTTCAAATGACGTGGATGGGATTACCTAAAGCTGGCGTGAGAAGTTTTCAAAATATAAAACAAACATTTCAAAATTCAGTAGCTTGCAATCATATTATATATTTGACCATACAATGAGTTACCTGGGGACAATATATTGAAGCCGTCACTCAATGTTTATTTAAACCATTTTTTTTTTTTATACCATTTATTTATTTATTTATACCATTTATTTATTTATTTATTTATTATACCATTTGTTATCTTCTGTGCCAAATCAATGATTAAAAGTTAAAGGGAGTGTTCGCCAGGGGCGGATACAGGATTTAAGTGAGGGGGGGGGGCCAAATTTTTTAGGAACAAAAAAATTCATAATTAGGAACAAAAAATCGCGGCGCAGGCGAAAATTTTTTTTTGACTTAAAAGACTCAAAAAGAGTCAAAATTAATGACTAAAGACTAAAAAACTAGATTTTTAACTTTTCACACATTATAGTTTATTAAGACAGATATTTTTCCTGTTTTGCACTAGGGGTTCTTTCCCTTAAGCATGCTATTGAGAAGCTATTCTGAAAATAGGAACAAAAAATTCTAAATTCAGGGGGGGGGCCTCCGCCCCTCCCTGAATCTGTTAGGGGGGCAAATGTCCCCCCGCCCCTGGTGTTCGCGAAAAATGAAAGGGGGTATAGGCTTAATGCGATAAAAAAGCGCTTTTGATCGCTACTAATCTAACTTCTATCTGTTAATTTTCAAACAAATCATTCAGATATTACAACCTATAGTCATCGATTATATTTCGCCACATTTGTATATAGTTTATATTTTATAGTATTTTTGATTTCGTTTTTTTAAAGACATTTCTCTGGCGTTGGATTTTCGAACATTCCTGGAAAATATGAAAATGTCGTCTTCATTATCAAAAATCCTCGAAACAGGAATAACAGTAACTATAAGATCATAAAAAAAGAAAATATTATGAAATATCAACTAAATACGAATGCATCGAAAAATTATCGATGATTATCGGTTGTAATAGCTGAATGATTTGTTTGGAATTAAATTGATTTTTTTACGATCTGAGTTATATGTTGCAACTTTCTGTATTGTATTGACGTTACGTTCTTCGATAAAGTCTGTTTTAACAATTTGCTCCTTAAAGACGCAACAGATAAAAGTAAGATTAGCAGCGATCAAAAGCGACCAATTTTCGCATTAAGCTTATACCCCCTTTCATTTTTCCCGAACACTACCTTTAAGACATTAAAAGACTTTATTCAAGACTGAAGACTTAATTTAACAGTATGTTATATTGTTTGAGTGTTTCAACTTTCAGTCTCATCCTTTGTGGGTAACCGTGTATTATTAGATAACAATGGTAATACTGCTTTTCCCCTATCCTTATTCCTCACAATCTACTATGCCTGGGAAATTTGAATGTTTAGGGTTGCAAGTTAGAAACGTAAACCCAAACACCAGGGCGTTGCAACATTTCAAATTCGACCCGGTCTTGAAAATTGATGCACACGTTTCCTAGTTCTCTAGATTTATTAATTACCTATCCTTGCAGTCAACTCTGTCTGGGAAATCACACCATTTGTTCTGTTCATCAAACACATAATCTTCATCACACGTCTGCTCAATACCAACCCCATCTTCCACATTCCAATACTGCCTGCAGTTATACGGATCCGCATATCTGAAATTTATCAATTAAGAATATGCCAAAAGACAATCAAATACGTTTCTTATTAATTAAAATTTCTTGCTAATTGTGGAAATACCTAAAAACGAACTAGGGAACCCAACTTTGCCTGGAAGCGGAAACTAAGTTTTCCTTATGAAAGTTAGCCTACTTAAATACAATTTTTAAACTAAGGTATAGAACATTCCTGTGGTTCTCCCGAGTTAGGAGTTCCATAATCAAAAATCGAAAAAAAAATCGGTCCAGGGGTTTTCTTATAGTCAGATATACAGGGTCACCTACAAAGGATGAGACTGTAAAGACGACCGGAAGCTCAACTTAAAATTTAATGATGTATTCTGCCTTTGATTTAGTGATCTTATGGCTTAAATTAAATGAATTGGTTTAAGTTACAGGGAATCATGAGCATAAAACACAGACCATAACAATTCCGTACAGTCGTCTCTGAAGTATCATCCTTTGTGGGTAACCCTATTTAAAAACTTACAATCCGTCTGGATGCCCCTGCCAGCTGATTTCATGTCCACATCCACAATCCACCTTATCCTCATCCTCGCACATCTGGAGATCCTCGTCAAATAGGAATCCGTCATCGCACTAAATTAGAACTTTTCTCATCGATTTATTACATATACTTTGCTTGGGTGTCTGTTTGTTTGTTTGTATGGGTGTTTGTTTGTTTGTTTGCAACCTACAAAGTTTGAACAGATCGGGCCAAAATTTTGTTGTACCACAGGGAAGGTTTATGGATAAAAAGAATTAAAAAAATTCCTCTAAAAAATTTTATTTTCATAATATTTAGAAAATCCACGAAAAAATATTTTAAAATTTGGGATTCATATTGTTTTATAAGGTAAATAAAGAGAAAATATTTACAATTGAAATAGAAAGCCTAGAATTTAAATAATTTGAAAAAATTTGAAAAATTACAGTGATTGCCAGAAAGCTTTGAAATGAATGGCGTCTTTTTGTAATTGCATTTTTGCTACTAATGAATTTCTAATAATGTTTAGAGCAATTTTTTGTTCTCTAGTTGTCATTTTTGTTTTCGAAAATCAATCATTCATAAACATAACACTTTGTTCATAAACTTTAAAATAAGAAAAAATTTTAAATTCACAGTTTTAATTGAAAAGTATGATCATTGTTAAAGGCTGTGTTCACGAAAATGAAAGAGTGGTATAAGCTGAATCCGAATCAAATTCGGATACGATCGCTATAAATTTTACTTTAACCTATTAGTGAATATATTAATATGAAAATGGTTGGTGTCGATTACGCTGCTAGAAGCGAAGAAATAAAACTCTCGGATTTACAAAAGTATGATTGAAGGATGCGATCTGTATATAAGTTGGACAATTCAATTTTTGGAAATATAGTATTTATTATTAAAAATCCGCAAAATTGGATTAAATATTTTTTTAAGTTGCACTCGCGTCCAAAAAATTACATAAAAATATTAAGTTACAGGGTTACCCACAAAGGATGAGACTGTAAAGATTACTTAAATCTTTTAAGATATACGATCCTAAGGTTAATTTAAGTCTTTTCGCTCTCACAAAATCTTCAAATGGGTGATTCAGTTATTTGGCAAAGAAGTCACAATTTTATATAGTTGCGTGAATATGAGGAAACAGACAGTATAAATTTCGCACAGTCGTCTCTGAAGTCTCATTCTTTGTGGGTAACCCTGTAAATTAAAGGTATTCGATTGAATAACAGAATAAAATTCAATAATAAAAGCCTATACCCCCTTTCATTTTTCAAAGCTACACAAATAAAATATGATTTTTAATTTGACGAAAGATATTTACAGAAACTTTCTGTGCACAGCCGTTTATACACTGCCAGAAGTCTGAGCATGAGTCAGGATCAGGATATACACTAAACTTCCCTTCTTCACATTTTCCTCCTGAACAATATTTCGTTTAAAGGGACTGTAGACGTAATTTCAATAGTATAGAGTGGCATATCCTTATTATACAACGATACTCTTACAAGCTTTGTTTGATTAAGTATGAATTATTTGGATATATATATATATATATATATATATATTCTGCAAAAGTGACTTGAGCATTGCTTACAGTGCGAATTCTGGTAAACTCTCGAACAGGAAGACGACTTTATGACATGATTAAATTTTAATAGTGAAATGAACATGAGTCTACACACAGACCCATTTCCATTAAACAATGATTTGAAAAGTTACCAATAAAACTGTTCGCTTTGTAAAGACATAAAATACACTTAATTATTGTTTTATGTCGTCTTCCTATTTCAAAGTTTTCTGGTTCAGATACAATGGAGAACTTATCAAGCTAGAAACCGAAGTTATCTGCTACATTTTGATGAGATTAAGGTTTCAAGGGAACTATTGTAAATCGAGCATGTCCCTGTTAAAATGGAGGGTTACATGAAATTACAACTACAGTCTATTTATAGAGAGTGTTAGAAATTCAAAACAATCTTTGAAATCTAAAATTGTCTTTTTTTATTTTCTAAGAAGGCAGAAATTGAAAGTGGACCCCTTTCCAAGGCGTATACGGGGGGGGGGGGGGGGGCAATGTAGAAATGTAGGCCTAGTAAAAATTTTACCTCTGAAAACTAAAAAATTGTGTTTGCCCTTAAATAAGCCATTTATAAGGGTGGCGGCCTGGCGGGGGGAAAATAATTTTTTTACTCTAAAGTGCCCGGCGTTGTCCGTGAAATAAAAAAAAAAATTGAAAACAAATTTAATTTTTTTAGCCATAGATGTTACCCCATTCAGGGTTTCCCTTAAAATGTTCAACCGGATTGGTCCTACCGTTTGGCCAACTACAGCTAACATACATACAGATATATAAATGAGCAAAGAGCTTTACTACAGAACGTCCCATATCATATTAGATTATCTCTAAGCTTTAACGCCAAAATAAACATATAATATTCAAAAAACATAGCATTTCCAACAAGAATATTTTTATATTAGCCTTATTCTATTTTTCAAAATGATTTATTCTTCTTAAGTTTTCTGATTAGTCCCGGAAATTGTAATTTAGACCCATTGACGATCTAATATGATATGGGACACCCCTGTATATAATATTATTCTTTAATAAATAAACCCTGATCCTACAACTTACCTCCAGGTAGGTCTGGACTGCAAGGATTTAATGAACAAACCCTGATCCTACAACTTACCTCCTGGTAGATCTGGACTGCAAGGATTTAATGAATAAGCCCTGATCCTACAACTTACCTCCAGGTAGGTCTGGACTACAAGGATTTAATGAACAAACCCTGATCCTACAACTTACCTCCTGGTAGATCTGGACTGCAAGGATTTAATGAATAAGCCCTGATCCTACAACTTACCTCCTGGTAGATCTGGACTGCAAGGATTTAATGAACAAGCCCTGATCCTACAACTTACCTCCAGGTAGGTCTGGACTGCAAGGATATAATGAGTTTGAGAAACCAACCAGAGAAACAAGAACAAGACTTAAACTCTTCATTGATGACATCTAAATATATAAAGTTCTAATATATGTTTGTCTGTCTGAATGTTTGATCATAACTCAGGAACCCCATGACTGATTTGCCACAAATTTTGATTAGAGAGCTTGGGAGAACCAGGGTAATGGTCATACTTGGTTCTAAGGTTGAGTTGGTCTACTAACTACTTTAAAAGGAAAAAATAGCTAAAACGCGTTAAAACTGTTGAAATTATTTCAACAGTGGCTAATTAAATATGCTATCTTGAGAAAAATTTGATTGAGTTTTGCCCAAATAAATTTTTTGAAAAAGATTTATCAATTCCAGTGGCGTAAATAAGGGGGGTTATTGGGGTTATTTACCCCCCCCCCCTAGAATCCTGGGGGTAAATACCCCCCCCCCTAGAATCCTGGATTGAATATCTTACAAATTTGCACGAAAATAATTTAAATGTGCAGATACTTCAGATATTTCAGATTTTAAGTCAACATATTCCAAATGATTCTAAATTCTAAAGTAATAGTCAATGTCATTACAATTAGATGTTTTTTTGATGATGTCAATAGATTTTTACTTCTAAATAATGTCATTTCCATATTAGATTTTTTTAAGATTTTAACATGCTACATTGACGACAAGAAAATTTTAAAAATTGAAATTAGAATATAAACAAAGACAATATTTTTTTCAAAGTTTTGCAGAGTAGCTTTTATAAAGATTTACAAAATGTAACATCTTTTTCCACTTAGAGTATTTTTATCTTACTTAAAATAAAGTCAGTTCTTTTACAGATCTTTGTAGTTTATGTAAAATGAATGACTATAATGAAGGATATAAAACAAGGTGAAAGCTGAAAGGTATGAAATGAAGCCTTTATTTGATGGAGTTTGTAAATGCCAAAATAAGTGGAAAATGCAAATCATTCTCTGACCACTCAAAGGTATGGATGGCATGATAGTTTCAGTAGAAGTACATATTTCCATTAACTGTTTAGCGCCGATTTAAAGATNAAAATCCTTATTTACGCCCCTGATCAAATCTGTAAAAAAATTGTAATTTTTAGTCTTAATTCAAAAATAGCCTTTTATTATTTCTGGGATTTCTAGAAAATTGTGTTTATATTTCCTACTGCTAATTTAGACAAATTGATTTAGTTTTTCAACAAAGAAAAATAAATATTTACCATGTTGCTGTATTAATTAGTCTAATAAAACTGATTTGAATATGAGCTTTCTTCATCTTAAATAATTTCTTTATCAGAAGACCTGAAGCAGCGTGCCTTGTTAATCCTATCTAAGCTGTTTAGCGCTACTTGTAAAGTATTTTAATCCAAGGAATTTATATTCAATGGCAAATATAAAAATTTCGTCTTTAACATTTTTTGAATACTTCAGTCCTTTACAAATTGGTATTTTCATGTCATTTCATCTACACAGAATTTAAATTGTCATTTTTTAAAAGTTGAAATTTGCTTTTTTCTGTATGAAACGGATAAATTTCTTTCGATGTGCTGGGGGTGGGGGTATGTTTTCATTCATACCCCTGAATTGTGGTTGATAATAAATATACTTTTGATTACGAAAACATAGAGTTAGAAAGAGAGAATGTGCGTCAGTATTAATTCTTTTATTAACAAAATCTTTATCAGCAGAGGTACATTATTACATTAGCACATTATTAGGGTGAGGGGGGGGGAGGGAGAGTATTAATCTTAGCTTTTTTACCTGCATCACGTTCCTGTAGTATATTTCAAAGTAACTGCAAATGTAAAATAATTATTTGCAGATTTTCAGGAGAAAAAATCATTTTAAGTTTTTTTTTGTAAAGTTATACCTTCTCTGTGGTCATATTACTTAAACCACCAAATATTTGGCCCGACCAATTGAGTCGTTTTGTAAAGTTATACCTTCTCTGTGGTCATATTACTTAAACCACCAAATATTTGGCCCAACCAATTGAGTCGTTTTGACGGATCGGACACATAAACAGACAGGAATATATGCAAAATAACAATATTTGGTTTGGGTGTCTGTTGTGTTCTTTGTTGGTTCGTTTCAAACATAGGTTTAAAATATCGTTCAAAATTGAAAATCATTGACTTAAAACTGTTGTTATTATTGGAAATCCACCATAAAACAGGAATTTATGTGCTATCCTTTAAAATTGTGGATTGATACTAAACAATTTTTTATGTTGTCCATTAAACCATGTTCAAAATTTTAATCTTCTTAGACTTTTGTTTTGAGATAGGTCTTTCAAAAGCCTAAGTTGTCAGAATTCAACATTTTACGGAAAATGGTCACAAATCAGTGATTGTTTTTAACTATTTTTGTATAGCCTTTCTTTTTTCTAATTACAAGCTTACAAGAAATAAAAGAGAAGCTCTTTTAATTGACAGCCTCTCCCGACTCCTAAGTTTATGTGTTATTTCCATGCTGTTCAACGAGGGGAGGAAGGCCAATCACATCAATCTCTAGTCCGAACCACATTCTCATCATTTTCTCGTCCGAACCACCTCGATATCCTCGTCCTTTCAATATTTTTTTTTTAAGTGTCCGATCCTTGAAAATAAATACATTTTTTAAAAATATGGCGACGTTAGGGCATAGATTAAATATAAAATTTTCCCAATTAAATTTTAGATTTGTGTAAAAATGAAAATGCTCCATAAACGATGTTCTACAAAAAAGCGTCTGTATCAAGAGCCCTTTCTTTCGCGGAAAATGCTGCAAAACATTCTCAAACTCGATGTAAACAACTTTTTGTAATATTCCAGCTGAAATTGGGTTAGAGATATGACTTACACTTTTTATATGATTAAATACTGTTTGAATTCATAGGGTTGTTTGTGACCAATTAATTGTAGCAAATGATTTGAATAATATAAATTGAACATTATTTTTTCTATAATTTTAAGCATGCGGCAGGCAGTAGTGGGGACAACAAATCTACCTTATTTGTAAATAAATCAGAAATCAATTAATATTTTGTATGGGTTGAAATGGAAAGATTAAAGAGTTCACGCGAATTCTTTGGCATAAATTTTTATTTGTGAAAGTTATCCATTTTGGAGGCAGAAGAGATTCAATTTTTGTGTTTGACATCATTCTCGTGGATTTGAAGATTCCAACATCTCAAAATCCTTGGAAAACTTTATTCTAGTCATGCTTTATGCCTTAACGTCGCCATATTTTTAAAAAATGTATTTATTTTCAAGGATCGGACACTTCAAAAAAATAATATTGAAAGGACGAGGATTTCGAGGTGGTTCGGACGAGAAAATGAGGAGAATGTGGTTCGGACTAGAGATTGATGTGGTTGGCCTTCCTCCCCTCGTTCAACAGATTGATATAAATCAAAATTAAAATAGAAAGTCGTCTTCATTGTGTTGATATAACCGCCTACCACTGAATGCTAAATAATTTTATGAAAAAAATAACATTATTTAATTAATTAAATACTAAATTGTTAACGTTACTGTTATTACACATCATCAAAATTCGAAACTACTGATAAAATATTCATTTCTGGATTTCAAGTGTATCTATCAAATATATATTTTTGTTTGTTAATATTCTTCATTGTTTGTTTTTATCTTATATATGTCAATTCTCACTCCGTTTTGAGAGGAAGGTAACCTCCCCCACGGACAGTATCGGAACCTCATTTTTTATCTATTTGCGGCACATAGGGCTTCCGATCTCCGCCTAACAGTCTTCCGCGAATGTATTTCCATTTATAGGTTTCTAAACTGACAAAAAATAATGAGAAAATAAAAATTTATTTAAAATGATAGCATAAAGAACATCAAAATCAAATATTAAATTTTCTTTATTTTTAATACCTAAACACGAACTATCCTATAAGTTCATCTCGACTAGAGTCGCAACTGGGGGGGGGGGGGTGAATGAAAAGAAAGAATGGCGAATATTCACAGGAATAAGAAAACCAATTGAGTTATTGTAGAAATTATTCTATATAATTTTTTATCTCAATTTTCAATGCTAAAGGCTATTGTAAACATTTAATGTAAAGAAAGTTCCGAACCTAATTGTAATTGTGTTGACATGTGGTTAGCTTCAAGTACTGTACAAACTGTTCAAATGTACTTAAAATATACTGATCCAAGTTCTAACTTATGTGCACCGGATGGTTTTTCCAGATTTTGCCACAAACTCTGATATGTTAATCCCTTTTATCTTTGCAACCCAATGTCATAGATTTTATACTTTGAATTCTTCTGGTAAATAATCTAAGTTTGAAATATCAAAGGTTTACATAACTTCGGTGTAAAAATTTAGGGATAAGAATATTTGAGTTTGTGGCAAAAACTCAGTTCCAAATCTAGAGAACATTCTGAACCTGGCAAATTTCTAATTGATTATCATATTTCATAACTGATAGGTTTATCTTCTTTTACTGAACTTCTATAAAATCGAAAATGAAATAAGATTATGAATGTTGGTTAGAATGATCAATCTAGACTTCAGGAGAAAACGTAACATTATCTGTCCTTTTTCAATGTAGATGAGTAAAATTATATACATAATTGCATCTGTTTTATACAGACTTGAGACTACTTATGGGTTATACGTAATTTGATGTGTTTTTTTTCAGAAAATATAAATGATTATTTCTTATAATTAAACCATGGGTACTTACTTCATGGGCGCACATTAGACTAATTGACTCGTATCGTTCATTTTACAGCTGTTGGAAGTATAAATCTTTTTTAAAACAAGAAAAAAATCGATTTTAATTGAATACAGCCAAATCTACATGCATAACTGAAAATTTCTTTTTTTTCGACTTCAACCCCTTAAAAACGCACTTTTATTTTGAGACAATTTTTGAAAAAGGGGGGCACGCCCTCCCCTAACCCCCCCCCCCCCGACCATTACAAAATAATATTTTGCCTCCTCTAGCAAAACTGCTAGTTGCGCCTCTGATCTCGAAATCGTTATGTGGATAGTAGGACATCCCTAGAACTCTGATCGATTGATTGATTTACCCTAGGGAAATTCAGAATTGATTGATTCTTCAAGAGAAAGGGCACTGAATAGTTGTTTTTCATTTTAAAGATTATCATTATTTTGTAAAAATACCCCTGAGATTTGAGATTTGTCACTCTCCCTCCCCCCCTTCCAATTTATTTTTTACTCTCTTTTGAAACGATTCACCCCCTCTTATATTCCAGACCTTTCAACAGCAAATCTGAACTTTGCTCCTCCGCTACAATTTTTTTATTTTCACTTGAAACTTCAAAGAAAAAGAGATAGTTTTATTTGCAAGATTAATAAATGATTCATGCGCTGGTCAAAGGTTATTTAATTTGATAAAAAAAAACTATTTTTATTTAAAAGATCAAGCTATTTGGTAATTAAACACAATTACTTTTTGAAAACAACTTTATAATAACCATACATAATACATATATGTATTTGCGTAATTTTCCTTTTGAACCCATTAAAAAGTGCATATTTATTTACTTTTCTACAAGTCCGAAGTATCATGTCATCACAGGGAAAATGATTGTGAACTTTGAACTTATTGTGGATAGGTGCTAAATGGCACAGGTCTATTTCTGGGCGTATTCAGACTTTTTTCTTTTTTATTTCCCCACTCAGTTTTACTTCATTAAAGAATAACTTGCTGACTTTGGACTTGCAGACATCTAAGAGAAAAGTTGTACAGTACACATTAAATGTACCCTTCAAGTGAAACTTGGTGCTTGATAGTGGTGGGATTCATTACTTGCAGGTTTTTAACAATTAGGGTTATTAGGCTTTCAGTATTTTCCCACTAAATTTAGCAAAATGGTGACACTGATTTAATTAATTCAGTAGATTTTACATACTTTGCAGAGCTCACACTAGAAGGGAATTTTTCATTTGGTGTCCTGTACTGTCCCGATTCGCCTACTTAGCCCTATATTTGTACTGTACAGTTTGCTCCAACTGGACAACGATTAGCCCGAGACTTCAAATGAACTGCAGTTTATAGTGGGCTACAGGCTAAATTCTTAAATGTTTTAAAAACTGATCATCTAGGATGCCTAGAACTAGCTCTGGGGGTCTAAAAAGTATATTTGCAATGATAAAAAGTTGAAGAACAAAAACTGGGTGTCAAACATTATGGAAATCCTGCGTAAAGAAATCGCTAGGAGAACATTTTTTTATATTTTAGAGAAATTAAATAATCAGTGTAAATTAAGTAGATATACTTTTCATAAAATCATTTTATTTGAATGGTAACACGGAATTTAATGAAATCATATTATCATTACTGGAGAACATTTTTTGCATTTGAGAAATTTTTGTTTTGTAAAAATAAAACTGTACATATCCTTTTCATAAAATAGTTTTTTTTAATAGTAACACGCAATTTTATGTAATCATATAATCATTAATTTATGTTTTCATTACATGATAAATCTGGAGGGGACCTTAAACAAAGTAGAGAGCAGTACAAATGTACATACTAATCTAATATAGTTGTATAGTGTCTAGGGTATGTTAAAAGAAATAGAAATTATGATAATGATAATGATGAAATACAATGTTTTACAAAAACATTTAATTTCTCAAAAATATAAAAATAAATTCTCCCGGAAAATAAGCCTTGTTGCTATACCTAGTGATTTCTATATGTTGGATTTCTTTGACGCCAAAAACTAAACATACAATTCCAACTTTTGAAAAAATGGATTTTTTTTGGAATTTGAAAATTTTAAGTCATAAAAGTAAGTTAAATGGTAAAAACACAGTCGTACTCCTCAGTGAGAAAAAACAACAATTTTTTTAAAAAGTTGAAGCAATCTTGAGAAATAAAATATAAATTTTTGTTGTGATCAGTAAATTGTGCACAATTTTATTGTTTTTTTTTACTTTGCATTCCCCCACATAAGACAGTAAACATACTTCAATATTTTCTTTACAAAGTTAATTTACTCCGTGAATATTTAATCTCTGTTTTCTATTATTGAAGGTCTTATGGGGCTTAAAAATATAGATTTTGTACATTTTTAGTTTCGCTTTATTTACCCCAAGATTTAATTTCAATAAGATTTTAATCGCTGTACACTTCGGTTCATTTCAAGCACAGGGCCCACTTTTATCCAGGCTAGAGCAAGCTGTACAGTACACATACAGACCAAATAGATTCTAGAACAATAAATGGCAAAGTAGAATTTGTACAGTTGTATTATGACGTCACAAGTGTCAACTTTGTGTCCGACAAAATTATTGATGATTAAGTGATAATTTTTTAAAATAAAGTGCTTCTTACAGTAAAATAAGTGCAATTTTTTGTGTTCTTTATTTTCTGTGTTTAGACTTTTGTATTTAATCTTGGAAAACATGTCAACTAATGTGAAATAATTTCGTTTTCCATGTTATAATTGACACTTGTGACGTCGTGTATAAATGGTCAATTTCTTTGTTGCTACCTAATTTACTGGATAAACTATTTGATATAGTCTATATTAGGCAAAACAGGACGGTACACTGAATCAATTATCTCTTTCTATCGATATTTATGTGTAAAAGGCATGAATTTTTTGGTATAAGTTTTATTTACTACATATAATATTTAAATAAATAAATAACAACAATGAACAAGGTTCAGGCAGTCAGGCAGTCATTTGGTATTCTTCGAGCATAGTATTGGCTGGTCTTAACTAGACCAAGCAATCAAGCTTGATGATTTGTCTTTACTGGCTGGCGGAGTACTGGGCAGGAGCAGGAGAGTAGGCAGGAGCAGGAGCAGGAGCAGGATCAGAGGCGTAACTGGCAGGGGCAGGTGCAGGGGCGTACTTGGCAGGGGCAGGTGCTGGGGCATACTTGGGAGGGGCAGGGGCTGGGGCATAGGAAGCAACAGGGGCGGAGGCGGCAGCATAAGGCTTAGCCTCGGGGTACTGAGCTGTTCCCTCGTAAGAGACCTCAGCAACATATCCACCATCACCGTTGACCGAGTAGGTCACCTTCTGTAATCTGCCATCGGGAAGTGCGACGTAGTAAGAACCACTGGTGGCATATCCCTCCCTGGTCTCTTCTTGACCGTAGTTGTTGTTGGTATAGTCATCCTTAACGGCCCAGTTGAAAGCATACTTGGCGGGCTCATCGGCGTACTGAGGGGCAGCAGGGGCGTAGCCGGGGGTGTCAGGGGCGGGTGCAGCGGCGGAGATGGCAAGGAGGGAGGAAACGGCAAGGAAGACCTAAAAATAGAAAGAGTTTTTAAGGTGGATGTTAATGTAAAACAATAAAGGAAAACCTTTTTTAAGCTGAAACAAATCAAGAAAGAGGTTTGGAAACATTTCAATTTTAGAATGCAAAATCAGAGAATAATGTTATATTTTATTAAAAAAAACCTAGTTTAAGCACCCAGGTTAGCCTTGAAATAAAATTTTCAAATAAAAATTAATCCTCTCTATTAAGATTCTTTAAATCAAGGCAATAACATTCCCGTGGTTCTACCAAGTTCCTCAATCAAAATTTGAGGCCAATCATACAATGGGTTCATGAGTTACACATACTCATGATTTGACAGAATAACAAAGATTACTACTTTATATAGATAAATTAGAAATGCAGGTATAATCTTATTTTTTAGTTATTAAAAAGTTAGACTTTAAGGAAAAATCTCGATGTTTAATAATCAAGTTTACTCTTTTTTTAATAAGTGTTGTAAGCATGCACAACAAGAATTTTGCAGTATCATTAATTGAAATCACACGATTTTTAAAGATTAAGAAATTATCAGAAAGAAATTATAATTTTGGAGCTCTTTTAATTCTCTTAAGACATTTTAGTGCAAGATATCAAATATTTATATTTCAGTAAAACAAATGACTTTTAGTTAATACTCTAATAAATGGCAAGAAAAATTAAGAATTTCAGTTTTTATTTTTAATAAGTTGATTTGGTGTTTTCTGTTTTTGTATAAACAGAGTTATTACTCAAAAAATGAAAAGAACTGTTTAAAAAAATTGTGCGTTTTTGAGTATATTAAACAAATAACAAAGGAATTGAGTCTTTGCAACAAACTCTGATTTTCTAATCCTTATATTGTCCCAACCAAACTTCGTAGACCTTAGATATTTCAAACTATGAATAATGTTAGCTCAACTTATCTAAGTTTGAAATATTAAATGTGTACAACAACATCAGGTCGATAAGATATTGGAATTCGAAAATTTAAGTTTGTGGCAAAAACTCAATTCCTTTAGCTTTAGCTTTTGTTGTACCTTCATGTTGTATGATTGAGTAAACAAACTGAACTGATTAGATCTCATCGCCGAGCTCTATATATACGCAACTCTTTGGGCGTCAGCTGACGTCACACCGGTCAGATTTACGCTTCCGACGCTAATAGCACTGACGCTGCTGCCTGCGTGTCCGAACTTCGGGGGAACCCTGAGTTTCCAACGGACATACAGGGTGATTCGACTCTACAAAATAAAAATCTATAAAAAAATTTTCATTCCTTGATCTATAATAGAAATAAATACAAACGCAACATTTCGCCATTTTGAACTATTTCTAATAATGCGGAAGTATTAAGTTTGACTATCTATAAATCTGTGAACATTGATATAATTTATATCCTATACCGCCCAATACAATTCGATATGTGACATGATAATACCTATAGTCCCATATATTAACAGTTACAAATACAATTGTTAAATAAATGTCGGCTTGTAATTTGATAATAATTATTGATTTAATTTCATACAATAAAATATTCAAATTTTGTATTTATCAAAAAAGGTTGAGACAGTTCCAAAAATCAAAAAAATTTGATTGAAAATTTTTAGTTTCCACAAACAATACTATTTCCCGATGCTGATCTTTGTCTGATCTTGGTTTAAAACAAGGAGATAAGAAACATCCTTAAAAGGCTTAAATGCAACCAAACATTTTTTTCATCTTAAGAGTGTTAAATCCGGAGACTCGAGGTTGCAAGGACACCCCCTTGATTCCACATAAGTATAGTTTTCTACTTTTATAATCGACTGTGAGAACCAGAAAAATCTGGAATATGAAGACGACTTCTAGACTTAATTTATGACTTTAATTAGTCCAATGAACATGTTACACAGCAATTGAGCAATGTGAACAGACCCATTTCACTTGAAAATTGCTAGTAAAACTTATTGATTTGTAACAACATAAAATACACATTAGTATTCCTATTCCACGGATTTTGGGCTTTACTGTTGATTTATCAGTATTGTAGTATTATCTAAAATTGATCAATTTTTCATATCAAATCAAATTATCTAATTCATTTTATAATATCTAAAAATCATCTAACAAAGGTTAGAACTTTTATGTTGTTAACCTAGGGATCAAGCATTGATCTCCATCTTATCCAGAATCCTTAATTTAATTCCTCTTCATATTCCGTGGTGGTCATACTTTACAAGGATACATTTAAAAGAGAGATCAAGTATCGAACTTAAAGGATCTCACACCGGATATCGAGATATCCCGACTCCAAATAAAAAAGTTATTTGCAAGAGTATCAATTATGCTTGTTGTTCTTTTATTAAAAAAGAAAAATTGTCAAAAAGAAAAAATACTGGGGGTAGCTTGTAAATATTTCAGAAGGAAAAGAATATATAGAAAGTAACATTTTACACATTAATCCAGAAGTGTGCAAGCTCTCGCGAAAAAATCGATGACAACTTTGCAAGGTGCAAAATCTTAAGGTAAAAACAAGTGCTGTAGAGTTCTAAAATATTGTGGCTCCTCAAAGACGATCCCATCTTGAAAATTGATGCAATTTTCATAGCAATTTGGTTCTTTGTGATTACAATCTGATTAAAACAGTCACGTTTCCAGAATCCAACTGATATGTTTATAATGCGTTTATATTGTTGTTATTGTTTGCAAAATTAATACACTGGAAAGTGACATTGTGTTAAATACCTGAAAATTACAAGGATTTCTTTAGAAAATTCAATCACGTTAAATTAATGTAAATTCCATGTTCGGTTGAAAATCATGTTCCCAATCATATAACTCCTCTATTTTAACAGTAATTGAGAATAACAAACACGTTTTTAATTTCCAATTTGAAACCAATGAGCACTTAATTATAATTTTATAATCCATTTATCTTTGCAACCTGATGTCATTCCATCACCTACCTCCCCCTTCTCTTCAGTATAACTCATCCCACTTTTTTTACCCGGCCCCCCTGTTTTCATTATATTTTTCCCCTTCCATCTCTTATTTACTTTTTCTCTTCTCCTCCCCTTCCCCCATCCTATAAATCTTTCTATTCCTTTAAAGGGACTGATAAATTAAAACTGAAAGGGGTATAGTCTGAAATCTAAGCATTTTAGGATCGATTATCCTAATATGCTTAGGTTTCAGCTTCCCTTTCATTTTTCCTTTACAGTCCCTTTAATTATTCTCCCCCCCCCTCCTCCTT